GACATTTTTACCATGTGACCAGCTGCATCTAATCATAGCTGATCACCTGGTAAATAGGAAATGCCGGTTAACAGTAGTCTTCTCCTCACGCTGACAGCACGTGAGGAGAGGAGAGCCGGTAAGATGCATTTTTGCAAGGGGACATCTAAACTGTTCATCATGGCACTGATCATCAGTATCCTGGTGATCAGTGTAGCCCCATCAGTGTGGCCAATAGTGCCCATCAGTGCTGGCAATCAGTGCCCATCAGTTAATCAGTGCTGCCTATCAGTGCTGCCCATCATTGCTGCCTAACAGTGCCGTCTATCAATGACCATCAGTGCCACCTAACAGTGCTCATTAGTCCCACCTATCAGTGCCCATCAGTGCTGCCTAACTGTGCCCATCAGTACCGCCCCATCAGTTCCATCTAACAGTGCCCATTAGTGCCACTTAACAGTGCCGCCTCATCAGTGCCCATCAGTGCAGCCTATCAGTGCCCATCACTGACTCCTCATCGGTGCAGTCTATCAGTGCCCATCAGTGAAGGAGAAAAATTACTTATTTACAAATCTTTGTAACAGAAACTAAGAAAAACTTTTTTTTTCTACATTTTTGGTCTTTTTTTAGTTTGTTTAGCAAAAAAAAAAAACCCCAGTGGTGATCAAATACCACCAAAAGAAAGCTCTATTTGTCTAAAAAAAGGATAAAAAATTTAGTTTGGGTACAGTATTGCATGACCGCGCAATTGTCATTCAAAGTATGAGAGCGCTGAAAATTGGTCTGGGCAGGAAGGGGGTAAAAGTGCCCGGTAGGCAAGTGGTTAACTATCTTTACCATATCTATATGTATCTATTTGGGGTTCATTTGTTGGATGCAATTTTAGTTTGATCTACAGAATTGGGACTGAGTTGGATTAAGCTATATGTACCAGCAAATTTGAGGTGGCAAATTAGCGTAGTGCATCTTAACATATTGAAATGTTCATTATATAGTCATACATATATATATATATATATATATATATATATATATATATATATATATATATATATATATTTAAATTTATAATTTAATACCTCTGTTGATATAATTTTATTCTGGTTATTTATTAGACCATATTGCTATTTTTTGTATTTATCTTTAATCTGCAATTTTAATCTGATCTGTACTGCAAAGGTCTAACACACACTGTTAGACAGGAGAGGGTTAATCTAAGAATTAGTTATAAGAAGAAGACCTTCGAAATGTATAAGGAAAGAGCGAGAAATTACCAAAAATGTTTTGAACCAGTAACCAATGGTAACCCATGATAGCCGTTAACAAGGTGCTGCCTCTTTGTGGGAAATCCAGGGATATGTCTGGATGATTTTTAGCGTTTTAATATTTCTTTTTTTTTAGTAAAGGTCAGTTATTTATATACTATTCAATGAGAAATACTATTTCTCTTTTATTAGATAACTGCACTAATCCCAGAATTGTTTGGATGAGACACCAGTGGTGGTGGCAGTAGAGTGCCTCCTACTGCACAGTCTGTGTGTTTTGGAGAGAAGAATTTGTGGAAAAAGTAGAACTAAAAGCAAATTTTTTTTTCAGTTTGGATAGAGTAAGGGAGGGTTATAACCCCTGTGAGTAATTTATGTTTGCCATCACTGTACCATTGGGGGATTTTCCTTTACTTACAGTCCCATAGGCAAAACAAGAATCAAGAGGAAATCCCTCCAAGGTAAGTGAATCCCTGGGTGCCACTAGGGTCACCATAATTAGTATCCCAATTGGAAGATATCCCCTCAGTTCCTGTTTTAGTGAAAACCCAAAATTTGGGTTGATAATTTGGCATGATAATGGTAAAGAAGAAAAAAAAAAACTAGAGAGGGTGAATATCCCTAATTCAGGCACAGACAGCAATAACAATCTGACAGGTGTTCTAATTCCACTCCATTCTGGCCAAAACTAAAACAAAATGTGTTGCTTTTAGTTCTACTTTAAGCTCTGCAGTAGGTGTGGCAGCCACAGGCACTTGGACAGTACAATGTGGATTCATCTGCATAGCCCCCTAACACTGTTAGGCAGGAGGTAGATTTGTAAGTATCACTGAGCCTTTGCAGTATCTCCGAGGCTCTCTATTGTCTAACATAGTGTAAGGCTTGCTAGTTGTTATGGTACACCAACCAGTGGATATGGAGTGAGGAGTATCTGGTTGATAAACTGAAGTTTTCCAAGGTAAGTACACTGCCTGCAAATAACTGTCTCAGTGCTGTTGAAGACTTGCTGGATGTAGTAGTGCATCTCCTAGTGGCTGACAAGAAACTCAAGGAATTGATAGGTGATGCAAGTAGACTAAAAATGTTTTATAATCAGGACATGGACATAAAATTGGTTATTTAAGAACTGGACTGTGTCTTTTTAATAATCATTTGATCTCCATATTCCTGTTTTATACATTGTCTAAAAAAGAAAGCTACGTTTATCTGATTAAACTATACTTTTTGTTGCTGTTGAGTGATTTACACTCATTTCCTAGGGATTAACCTCTATATTTCCTGGTTTTTCAGCTATAGGCTTATAGTGGTGTAATCGCATGGGTTTGGAATGAGGTAATTGTTTAATGAATTATTAATTGTTTAATGAATTATTGTGATGACCTGAGAGTTGATAGGAAGAAATAGAGCACTTAAAACATTGATCTGTTGATATATGACCAACATGTGGTGAGATGTGTGGTGAGCTTCTCTTTTATCAGGGTAGAGCAGTGTAAATTCCTTTTCTTTAAATATTGGCATTAGTTGGTTGCACTGGGAGTGAGACTTAATTTGGTTGTATTTTTAAACACTGAGAAACTTGTAAAGCTGTCGATACATATACAGATGACAATATAAATGTGCCCCTGCTGGAACATCTGCTTTGCTTGGTATAATTTGTTTGGCTTGGCTGTACTGGGTCCAAATCTGTGTCTTAGATGCATTGACAAGAGCTCCTGTCTGAAAGAAGTCTGCAAGCAGTATTTACTGTCTTCACACATAAACGTATTGCAATATTGTTGCAAAGTATTGTGTTCAGTGTTTCCATGCAGATTAAAATGTACGTATATTTCATATCTAAAGTTTGCATATCTAGGATTCCACAGGTTAATGTGACAAAGCAAATCAGTGAAAAAAATATGACAGTGCCCACACACATTGTTCTTTTAGCCTTCCAGGAGTTCGATAGACACACCCCGCTCACTCTGATTTCTGGATTGCATTGGTGGCATCATCAGGGTACAGGGTTCTGAAAGAGGAGGGGCTATTCCACAAAGAAACTGTACAATGAATGAGCAAAATGTGCCTGGACTGCAGAGTGCCATCCAGGGGTGGACTGACAACTCATGGGGCCCCCGGGCAATAGGGGTTAATGGGGCCCCTGTGTCCTTGCCCAAACTCAAAAAAGCCTATGAAAAAGGTACCAGGGGCATCTCATGGGGCCCCCTACTGACCCCGGGCCCTCGGGCGGTGCCCGAGTTTCCAAATGGTCAGTCCACCCCTGGTGCCATCTATAAGTGACGATTAATACACAACTGGTTTGTCTCACAAGGTTGCCTGAGTCTGCTTCAAAGAGGTGTCCTTTCATCTGCTCATAATGTCAATTCCAGCAAAATGTATTTTTATGTTTTATAACCAACATGTTTCCTTATTAACTCCTTGGTTAACTTTAGCCCTTATCAAAGCCCCCCCCCCCCCCCCCCACAACACCACCACCACCACACACTTATTTTACTTTACATATGTGACTCTTTCTCAGTTTTGTATTTTTTTTACTTCTTTTGTAAACAAAGTTTAAAAAAAATATAAAAATATACAATTTTAGCATTTGCACTTTAACATGAAAAAACAGAGGTGTTATGCACAATCGTAGAATCCTAGAATTAATTAAATATAGGTTACAATAATTCTGAGAAAATCCTGGCTACATACACTGAAAAAGAGCCTTTAGGACATAATATAGTGACTTTGTGCAAATGGTCATTCTACTGTAAACTCCTATGCTCAGGGGGTACACTTTTAAAGTGGACCTGTACCCAAAAAGTGAAGATTGGCTGTTATAAGGAACATTTAAAATGTTAATTGTGCTGTGCCTAAGCAGTACCCTGAGAAATGCACTTTTTGTCTAGAATTCATCATGAAAAATAGCAATACACTTCCTGGTAGATGAAGGTGCCTAGGCAAACCTTTGCCTGGAGCCTCATATTTGCATACCTACAGTGTGATATCTAAGACTGCTGCCTCTGTCTGATAGTCTCAGGACATTTAAGGATTGCTAAGCTTCAATTTATTATTTTTTTAATTTAAAGTGTTACTAAACCCACAACAGCAAAATCAGGCTGTATATGTAGTAGAGCATGCTTGTTTTACTCACTGTGAAACCTAAGGGGTTAATCCTCTGCATTGTATAAAAATGCTGTTTGATCCTGACTTTTCTGATCCTCCCCTTTATCTCCCTTTTATCCCCTGAAAAGACATATGTGTGAAGACACTATGCATATGCTCAGTTTGGTGTGTAATGCTAGAGAGGTTTTTTTTTCTTGGGAGAGTGCATGTGATCAGCACAGGGCCAATCAGCACTGTCCAGACAGAGGTTAGGGATGATGTATCCTCCTAGAGCAGAAATAAAACTCCTTTCACAAGCTTTAACATGTGCTCTGCTGAACAGTGATGGAAGCCACAAGACTGCTCTAACTGCTGATGAGAAAAGGTATTTAGCAGTTTATTTTACTAGGATAATTACATTTCCATGCTCTGTGTACTGTGGGAGACCAGATACTGTGAATGTATGGTTCTGGATTTAGTAACACTTTAGATAAATACAGAGATAAAAATAAAATGACCATTAATGAAACAATTTATAGGATCCTCAATGCTTAGACGTAATAATATATACAGTAGGTAATTATGGTGAGAATATTTTAAACTTCTTATATTTTCAGTGGTATATCCTTTTTAATATGGAAAAAAAATGAAGTAAGTCATGTAACTATTACTTACCTCTTCAAATTTTAGTGCAATCATTGAAAATGCTTTAAAAATGGCATCTGTTGGTCCTGTTATTGTTACAATTCGTTCAGGGCAGGACCCTTCTGATATGTTGATTCGCGCACCACTCTGTAATCCAAAGTAAAATAAAAAACAATTACTAAGTATACATTATTCATACTTAGTCCATCTGAATGTTAAATATCAGTTCAATCAAAAAGGAAATTCTCCACAAAGGACATGGCTCTTTTCATGAATAAGTGTCCTCTTGTATTTTTGCACAGTAGTCACACCATTGAATATGACTAATGCACTCTTATGCAACAGCTGTCACCAGGGGCGGACTGACAACTCATGGGGCCCCCGGGCAATAGGGGATCATGGGGCCCCTGTGTCCTTGCCCAAACTCAAAAAAAGCCTTTGAAAAAGGTACCAGGGGCATCTCATGGGGCCCCCTACTGACCCTGGGCCCTCGGGCAGTGCCCAAGTTTCCAAATGGTCAGTCCGCCCCTGGCAATCACTGAGTCACGGGTGACATAGAAAGTTACAAGCTTCAATGCCACTCCCAAACAAGGTGGAAGCGTAAAGTGAATGTCTGTCACCGATGGAAGATAGACATTAACAATGCTGTAGTGGAAGAAGGTATATAAGCATTAATGTCAGGGATGCTGCAATAACAAACAACACTGACATGTTATTGGAAACTATAAATCAGTGCTAAAGCCCAAAGAAAACAGCAGGAATGCAGGAAAAACAATTTGATACACTAAAGTAAGGGGTACTTTGGGCATCCTGTAAGGATGTTCAAATAATTTAAGATATATTACTTGACATTTCAAAATATTGTTTGATTTGTCTCTCTATATACAGTATATTGTTACACTTTATATGTTGGTATTCAGGCTCAGGACAATGCAAAGGAAGAACAGAGGCTTGCAGTGGAGGCTAGGGTTGTTGACTAGGAATGAGGTTCAGGTTCATCACTGCCATGGGTTTGAGCTGAATCCTGTGGATTCAAAATGTGCAGTCCCAGGAAGAATATGTGTCGGTTCACCTGGGAGAATGTTTTTAAACCATAATGTACTGTACGGTCTTTAAACTATGGACAGCAGGCTTAGAAAGGCCAATAAGCGGATATTTTGATATGCCAATGTATCAAAAACATAGGGAATGCAGAAAAAACTATGTATTGAGAGTTCTAGGGTCACTTAGGAAGTTGTGCTTTAATTCTGACCGCTAGTTATTTGGGTAATCAACCCCTTTGCTGCCTTTTTCTTTTTGCTCTTTTTAATTTTTTTTTTTGTATTTAATTTTCTGTTGTGATTGATTTGAAGTCTATGGCCACTTTTACCTAGGGTATATTGCTTTTTCTTTGTGCGGCAAGTCTTCTCTTAAAAATAAAGTGGGCTCTTGTTGTTTCAGGGGTGGTATTTTTATTTTATGTTGATGGGGCTTTTTTAAACTTGGGTTGGCCATTCACATCTGTTCTTGGGGCTGGGGCTCACCTAAACCACCTCACCTTATATTACTTACAGGTGCGGACTGACAACTCATGGGGCCCCGGGCAATAGGGGATCATGGGGCCCCTGTGTCCTTTCCCAAACTCAAAAAGCCTATGAAAAAGGTACCAGGGGCATCTCATGGGGCCCCTTACTGACCCCCAGGCCCTCGGGTAGTGCCCGAGTTTCCAAATGGTCAGTCCGCCCCTGATTACTTACATTCACTTTGCACCGGCAAGGTTGCTCATGCTTTTCCTTTTGCTAGTAAATTTTATACTGCTTTAATCTCTGCAGTATTTTAATTCTAGTAGTGAAGCCTGTTTTTACTGTCTCTAGCAATTTGGAGCCATCTTAATGTTAGTAGTAAAACACCGGCCTATACTCACTTTTTTGTTACATTATGGCCAATTCTCCCTGATTAAAAAATGCCCTGCCACTGCTCATTTTTACACTGCTTGACTTTCTGCAGTCTCTTAATTCTTAATAAGAGTTTGATAAAAAATTGTCCAGGGGAAGGACAGTTTTGATCAGTAAGAACATGCACAGCCTCTGCAAAATACTGATCAATTTCTGTCTGCCAGTTAAATCAGGTCTATTGCTGTTTGATGAAAAAGCAGACCACCGGCTACAGTCATTGTTCGGGTATTATTACAGCCACACGTATTTTGACAGCTGGCAGCAGGAAATTCATTCATTCAAGATGTTTAGCATGCATGTGTTAATCTATGGATGTCTCACAGTTACTCTGTTACATATTTGGCCAGCTTAATCCACACTGAATTAACCACTCCAACAACCTCCACATCCCGCATGATTTTCCATGGTCAAAAAGGTAGTAACACATTGGTCTAGCAATTATTATTACTTTTTGCTGGATTTTGTGTCCTTGGTATTTTGTTTTGCTGTAATGAATGGTATGTTCTTGATTAGAGTCACATGCAATTGATTCCTGAAATAGGATTGTGCCTTTTAATGTTTTTCTGCCTATTGTACAATGATGGCCAAGTGGGAACCCTGTTATCCTGGGAGGACATCACACGACATCCTCCCAGGATCGTGCCTCGCATGCACACAGGCTTGATCTGTCACCAGCTGTGTCCAATGGATATGGCCGATAACAGGTCACTACACTGGCCCGCTGCCAGTGTCACGTGATCACTGTGACTAATCACAGCAGATCACATGACAGTTGTAAATAATGAATGGCTTCATTTCATGCCATTTTACAACTGTGCCACGAGCTGTGATTGGTCACAATGATCACATGAACAGACTGGGCTAATCACAGCCCATCTGTAGCATGTGATCAGCTATGGCCAATCATAGCTGATCACAATAAAAACTACTGAATGAATCAGTTTAATTCAGTAAAAATGCTTGCTTATAACATGTAATTTGTTGGTATAAGCAATCATAATGTGTAAAAAAAATAATACTGATCACTTGCCCAGAGTAATACAATGTTGCTATGGTACCATCGTATTACTCTGGTCACAGAAGTAGAAAAAAAAATAGCAAAAACAGAAAAAAAGTAATAAATAAGAAAAAGAAAAAAAATGTAAAAGTTTTAAAAAAGTTTGTATTTTTTTTTAACATACTGTTGCCAGTATGTTAAAAAAAAAAAGTATAGTATATATATGTTGATCACCTCCACACCAGGTATATGATGTCGCTGTACTGCTTTGGTGACAGTATGCAAGAAAAAAAATTATGATCAAAAATTACAACTTCAGAAAACTCGCTATGCCTCTTACTAAATACCTCAAACTGTCTACTTTCCAAAATGTGGTCATTTTGCAAGTATTTGTACTGTCCTGGTGTTTTTGGGCCTCAAGAAATTAGATCAGCCGTCAATACATCACGATTTATCAATTTTTAGATATATACTATAGTTTCATACCAACTAAATAATAAACACTGATTTGGATTATTTTCACCAAAGACAAGTAGCAGAATACATTTTGGCCTAAATTTGTGTACAAAGATTATTTATTTGCAAAATGTTACAACAGAAACGAAGAAATATATGCGCTTTTTTCAAAATTTTCAGTCTTTTTTCGTTATAGCGCAAAAAATAAAAAAAAAAAGTGGTGATTAGATACCACCAAAAGAAATCTCTATTTGTAAAAAAAAAACACGCATTCTCCCTTTTGTCCCACCTGTTGCCAGCTTTGAAATATCCATGTAATCTATTTTATTGGTAATCTATAGTGGTCTGGTATCTATTTTCTGTATTTATTAGTGGCAATGTTTCAAGAAATAATTGTTAAAGGATAAGTTCACCTTTGGAAAAATGTTAAATTTTTAGGGTGTAACATGTAACGTGTTCCTGCTCCTACAATCCCCCCCCTCCCCAGGGCTGGAGAACTTCTCCCCACATCCGCTGTCAGAATTTGAAAAGAGTGTGGATGTGAGGGGTTCCGCACACATGGCCACATCATGAATTCACAGTTCAGTGAAATAATTCCTACAAGTTCTGTCAGCCTTTTAGTTCTCAATGAGGTGTGAGGGCACTGGTGAGTACTCTGGTAGTCCATTGAGCTTCCTATCATTCAGTAACTGCCTGCCCATATCGGAGCTAAAGGCAGACAGCTACACTGACAGTCTGCAGGAGTCAGAGATTGCACCCGTGATCTGCTGATTGCGGGTGCAATGCTTTACAGGCTACTAAGAAAAAATTAGAAAATGCACATTTTTTAACCTTCAAAAAACGTGCATTTATTATTTTTTTTTTTTAAAGGTGAACTTAACCTTTAAACATATGATTTTAATCATAATAAATAGGAAATATTTCAAAGCAAATCGTATAAGGAGCACACTGAGGAGACTATAAAAAACACTAAGGAATCCTTTCATAATGCAGTGGTATAGCCTTAATGCAATGATAGCACTGCTTTATAAAGAGCTCTGCAAATGTATAATGTAGAAGGGAGTGTGGTGCACTCCAGACAAATTTGGCCTCATAATGGCAAGTATTGAAATTATTTATACTGGTTGGTGCCATTATCCAAGTAACAGTAAATTGTAGATTATAAGCAGCACATTGTATGCTGAACACAAGCAGCATTCTGAAGAATATATACGCTTTTCCATCAGCATCACTTTTGTCTGGTAAAGAAACTAGTGTATTGGCTCTGAAACATTGCTTTTGTGTGATGAATAAGAAAGGAGGAGTAAGTAAGGTGCATACAATGTGCTCATCATATCTCCAATTTACTGGCTGATTGCATGACTTGTCAAAGTCATGTGACTAGCCTCTCCTTCAATTACAGAGTTCAGACTTAAAGTGGTTCTAAAGCTTTTTTTTTTTTTTTTACCTTAATGCATTCTATGCAGGGGGCAGAAGAAAGCCAGCACTGAGAACTCACCTCAGTCTCAGCACGGGACAGGAATGAGGAGATGCCCTTATGGAAGGTGGAAACAGCATGTGATCTGTGAGTGCAAGGGGGGGGGGGGGGCACAACACCTGATGTATAGGGACACCTGTTGGATGCCTGATGTATGGAGACACCTGATGTAAGGGGAAACTGTTATGGGGACACCTGATGTAAGGGGACACTGTTATAAGAAAGCCTGATGTATGGGGACACCTGGTATATGGGGACACTGTTATAGGAACACCTGATGTATGGGGGC